ATTCATCCACCACTAGAATTTCTGAGTTTGTTGGACCTGGAAAAGATTTTATTCCTAGTGAGCTGCCTACAAACAGAGCAGTTATTCAAAAAGGAATTTTATAAAAAGAACAAAAAAGCATAACATGCAATTTAAACCAAATAAATATTCTAACAAAGATCTTGCTAGCGATCTAATTCCACTTGTTCTTGCTCAATGGAAAAAAGCAAGTATTTTATTTCAACAACCAGTTATTATTGGGGAGAAATCGCTTTATTATAGAACAAAAACACTTTGGGAGAAAGTAGAAAACGTTGCATGGGGAAGAACTAAGGTAAAAGTAAAAGAAGAGCTAATATTGAAGTTAGATAAACTAATGGACCTCATAACATGTCCTCACACAATACTTCTATGCGAGCATGATCTGTCTGGGTGTTCTTCCCCCAAAAATTGTAAAAATAAAGCACATATAAATTGCACCTGTACTTATTCTAAAAAAAAATTCCAACTATGGAGCTCAGGTGGTTATACAGTCAAAGAAATAAGACAGGTGAAAAGTCTGACATGCAGATGGGACATGCTGATAAGATTGAGACAATGAAACTAAGAAAAAAGTATAAGAGAAAAGTCAGCGATGAAGAAGCTTACGAGAAAAGAATTAAAAAAATAGAGGAGGAACAAGCATTCTTCGAGGTAAATATAATTTCTTAATAATAAATATTTTCTTTTTTCGTATAATTATAATAATAACAATAATATATATATATATATATATATATATATATATATATATATATATATAATATATATATATATATATATATATATATATATATATATATTATATATATTATATATATATATATATATATATATATATATATATACATATATATATATATATATATATATATATATATATATATATATAATATATATATATATATATATATATATATATATATATATGTATTTTGATTTTAATTTGATTTTAGGTCGCAGAAGAAGAAGATATAGAATTAGATAAAGAACATTAAAAAAATATTTTTCCTGGCTTTCTCGATGAAAACTATAATCTAGATAATGTTAACTTAACTTTAAAACAAGACAATGAAATTAAGATTTTGGTTAAAAGGCTGCTAAAGGAAAAGTTTGGTGTCTATGCTTTCCTTGTAACACGGTTTTTAGAAAAGAAGTCAAGATATAACACAATGTCAATAAAAAACACAGCTATGGCTAGTATAAGGTAGTTATATTGACTTTTGTTTTGTTGAGCAGCAACATGAGTTAATAGAAATAAATATAAACCATTCTTATTTTATAGGTTTGGGATTTCACCTGCTGCAACTGCAGCAATTGCTACAAGTTATCTTCAAGATTTAATTGAAGCAGGATTTCTCACCCCCTGAGTCCTCTTACCTTGCTTGTGATCCTTCTAAGTTGACGAGAGAGAGAAAAAAGGTGATGGTAGTTGCGAAGAAAAATGATAATTTAAAACTTCCGAAAGCAGACAATATTGCCATTTACTTTGACGAAAAGAAAGATTCAACAAGAGCAATGATAAATGATTCAAATAGACAGCTACATCCTATTATTATCAAAGAGCAGCACATTACTGTGACTATAGAACCTGGTGGTCGATATCTTGGCCATTTTACCCCAAATGCACCTAATCATCTAGATAAGCCAGCTAAAAAGATTGCTGAGGCTGTTTATAATTTGCTGCAACAATATAATCTTACTGAATCATGTTTAGTACTTGGAGCTGACAGTACTTCAATTAACACAGGCTGGAAAGGTGGTGCTATAACGCATCTTAAAAAGCTGTTAGGTCACAAGTGCCACTGGGCTATATGCATGCTTCATTCGAATGAATTATTTTTGCGTCACCTTATAGAAGGCATTGATGGACCAACATCATGTAGTACTGGATTTGTAGGTCCTGTGGGAAAATTTCTTCCTGATGTTAATAAAATGGAGTATAATCCTCAATTTAAAGCTCTTCCAAATGGAGAGAGCTTTGTCGACATTCCAGAAACAATATTAAAAAATATGTCAGCAGATCAGAAACAATGTTACAAGCTATGTAAAGCAGTTAAGATTGGTTTATTGCCACCTAATCTTAGAGAAATTCAATATGGCCCCTTAAGTCATGCCAGATGGCTCACTACTGGCATGAGAATAGTCTTTATGTGGACAAGGAAACACAACTTAAATGATCAAAATTCGCAAAATCTAGAAATACTTGTTGTATTTTGTTTACAATTTTACTTTAAACTTTTTTTTGACATAAAGGTCAAAAACAGACTTGAAGATGCTTCTTATAACATTCTGTCTCAATTAAGAATTCTTAGAATGCAACCTGATAGAGTAAAAGAAATTGAGTAAAAGAAGTGTTTCCCTACATCCAGTTAGGGGCTTGGTATGCAAACCATGAAAGTATACTAATCTCTTTATTATCTAGTAATAATGCAGAAGATCACAATTTTGCAGTTGATCAAATTCTGAAACTAAGGGGTAATGATATCCTTGGAGATATGCGAATCAGACCAAGAAAAACACCTAAACTTAACTTTGCAGCAACTACTCTTCAAGAGCTAGTTAAATGGGAAAATGGTGTTGTAGAAGAACCTGTTTTTACTTGTTCGCTCACCAGAGATAAGTTGTTATTACTTAGATTAATATCTTTAATAACTCCTTCGATTAAAATTCATACTCAAAGTACTGAATGTGCTGTAAAACAGGTGACAGTAGCATCCATGTCAGTAGTTGGACCATATGCAAGAGATGGTTATATTAGAGCTAGAGCTCAGCATAGAGAGTTGCTACCTGTTTTTAAAACAAAGAAAGAAATTTTATTAAATTTTTAACTTCAATAGATTTTTATTTTATTTGTTTTTTAATAGTGTTTTAGTAGTTTTATCAAAATATTATTGGGGTAAGATAGGGGGATAAACCACCTATTTTTTGGTGAAAGTATAAAGAACTGTTATGATCAAATTTTTTAATCATTAGAACCTCATAAAAAATTGAATACCCCCTCCTCCTCCCTCTAAAAAATGCAGAATCTGCACTGCAGATAGGATCCATGCAAGATAATGATTTTAAAAAGTCCAAAAAACTTCTAAAAAACTTTCAATAATCTAAAAATATTATTTGCATTTAATATTTTATCGCAATGAAAATGAAAATATAAAATACAATGAAGGACATGTGACAAATTAGGTTTTACTAATTTTTGCTATTTCTAAATGTCCATATTTGGG